TGGAATTAATCTTTGATGATAATGTAGTAGACTATTTCCTAAAACTATATATTTTCTAATAGAATAAACTGTAAAAAAATTACAAACATGTGACTAATTCTTAGTGCGTAGTGCATAAACGTTAATGGAAAAGTTACAAGCAAATATATTTAAACCTCTTTTTTTTTGTCACGAAGCAAACATATTTATATATTTTAAAATTTTTATAAACATTGTCCGCCGTGTCCACCATCGTCGCCACCACTATAACCAGTCACTGTGGCTACCACTACCACCGTCACTACATAAAATAACACGTGAACAAAATTCAATCAAATAAATAGCATTTAATGTTTTTTTTTTTTGAAACTTTAGCATTTTATGTTGAAATCATGAAGGTGTGTAATAGTACCAAACAATAATAGCGAAACGAAATGAGATTTGAGATTAAATTATTATGATTCTTTATCCTTTTCACTTTTGTGGAGTACTTCGTTGTTCTTCTACGTGAGATCTCTCGACTGTTCGATTCTTTTGTGTAGTAAATTAAAAAAACAAAGATTAGGATTGAGATGAAATTACTACAAGAGAGGCTAATGTGAACAGAAGAAAAATAGTGACGGCTTATGTCAGTATCAAGTTGTGAACACGTTTTTAGATCTCATGGATTATTAAAGTTTGAGTGATCAAAGAAACCTTTAGGTAAAGCAAACGAATCATATATGTTCTACGTTTTTACGTACGTTAGCACGAAACTCGTAAACATGATAATTTTCCATATAAAATTATCTGAAAATCCCCATTATTTCATCATAGTGGCAACCAAGTGTATATACCAACATATATAAATAAACATAAGGTAAAAGAAAGCACTATCTGACCCCACACGGTTCCATTGAGACAAAGGCATGCATATGTATGTGTGTGAATATAAATATAAGTTGGTTCTTGAAGATCATCATATGTAAATTGATCACACACAAACAAAAAGAGTTAGAAATATGGGAGTGTACTTAGACAATTGTTTTTATGTACTGATAATAGTGTTGGTGTTGGTGAGTAAAGTGAGAAGTCAGTCGTTAAAAAATGGTTATTATTCAACTTCATGTCCAAAAGCTGAATCCATAGTAAGATCCACAGTTGAATCTCACTTTGATTCTGATCCGACTATTTCTCCTGGCTTGCTTAGGCTTCATTTCCATGACTGTTTTGTTCAGGTTCCTCCAATTCTTCTCTAATCTTAATCGCCTTTGATCAATTATACAAGTTAATAGATATATTGTTGAATTTGACCTATTTATTAGGGTTGTGATGGGTCGGTTTTAATCAAAGGGAAATCTGCTGAGCAAGCCTCTCCAGCGAATGGCGGTCTACGAGGGATGGAAGTGATCGATGATGCGAAAGCCCGGCTGGAGTTGGAGTGTCCAGGAGTTGTGTCATGTGCGGATATACTTGCACTTGCTGCTCGTGATGCTGTTGACTTGGTATGCAAGTTTACTAAACCTAATTCATTAGGGTTTACTTGACTCCTTTGGTAGATTTTTATTGATTACGTATGGAGACAGAGTTCTGGACCAAGCTGGCGAGTTCCAACGGGAAGAAAAGATGGGAGAATCTCTTTGGCATCGGAAGCATCGAATCTACCATCTCCACTTGACTCTGTTGCTGTTCAAAAGCAAAAGTTTGAAGCTAAAGGCTTGGATACTCATGATCTTGTTACTCTACTCGGTATGTGTTTTTTCATCTCTCTATCTTTTTTTTTAAACATATATTTGTGTTCTACATATAAACCACGCGAAAATAACTAATTAGTTTCTTTTCAAAATATTTTATCAGAAATTAAGAGTAATTATTTGTTTATATATATTTTATCCATAAATTGTGAATCTTTGGACTTTAGTCCCGGATTCATAACGCGGTATCCATTAGTTGAACCACTACATATTCGAAATTTCCGTTTCGTGATTAGTTCATAGCTGTTATGTTGAACCTCTATTGCATAACTTTAAAAGGAACATAGATCGAGTTTTTTTTTTTCTCTCGAAAATTGAAAGTAAGGTATGCGCAAATTATTCACGTCAACATTGAAGTGAAGTGAGCCTCTTGTCCCATTTTGTTGATAATTTTCTTTTGGAATTTAAGCAAAGGCTAATTACTTTGTTTTTTCATCCCTTATCTTTTTTTCAAACAATATATTTATGTTTTACATATAGCCCGCGAACATAATTTAGTTTCTTTTCAAAATATTTTAACAAAAGAATATGAGTAATTATTTGTTTATCGGTATTTTAACTATAAATTGCTAATCATTGGACTTTAGTTCGGATGCATAACGCGGTATCCATTAGTTGAACCACTACAGTCCTATTCATGATTAGTTCATACTTCATAGCTGTTAATAGCCTGTTATGTAAACCTCTATTGTATAAGTTTAAAAGGAACATAGATAGTGTTTTTGTTTTCGAAAATTGAAAGTAAGGTATATATGCACAAAACCACACAACATGGAAAAAGTTCAAGTGCGTAAAAGTTGAAGTGAGACCTGTCTCATTTTATTGATACTTTTCTTTTGAAACTTATGCAAAGGCTATATACACAATTAATTGTTGATTTGAGGAAGAGTAAAATTTAAAAACACCTTGTATAGTCGCGATCTTACTCAAAATCGATCAAGAAAATTATTAACCCGTTAGATCTAGGGTCTTTTTTTTTTGGTGCACGTATGTAGAGTAATTAATTACACTTTTAGTTGTTTACTGAACGCGTGCAACAACTTGTTTCACTAAACATCCACTTTAAACTTTTCCCTTCATATAGATATATAACACATTTAAATATAATATACCCACAATATTTGTTTATGAGGACATGCAGGTGCACATACAATAGGACAAACGGATTGTCTATTCTTCCGTTACCGTCTATACAACTTCACGGTGACCGGAAACTCCGACCCGACCATAAGCCCATCGTTTCTTACACAACTCAAGACTCTTTGTCCTCCCAATGGAGACGGTTCGAAACGTGTTGCTCTTGACATTGGTAGTCCATCAAAATTCGATACAAGCTTTTTCAAGAATCTACGAGACGGCAACGCCATTTTGGAGTCGGACCAGCGGCTTTGGTCGGACGCCGAGACAAATGACGTGGTGAAGAAGTATGCGAGTACTATTAGGGGTTTGTTTGGGTTTAGGTTTGATAATGAGTTTGGTAAAGCTATGGTTAAGATGAGTTCCATTGATGTAAAGACAGATGTTGATGGTGAGGTTAGGAAAGTTTGTTCCAAGATAAACTAGTTTGAGAGTAAAACATAAATATACATGGTCAAAAACATGTATTATGTATTATGTAGACTTGAAACCGGGTTACATAATGATGGCATTAATACAAAATATACATGCTTTGGTTATATATTTTATAAGTTTAATAGTTTTAATAACTTAATGTTTTGTAATTCTCTATAACTTGATATTGTTTAGTTTTTTTAGTCTCAGAAAATAAACGTAAGAAATCGAATAGTAAGAGGAAAAAAAAAACATAAGAAATCGAATTATTCTGAATGGTAAAAAAAAATACTACTAGTCTTTAAATCTTCGAGCGTCTACCTTTTCTATAATGAGCACTTAAATATTTGTTTTGTATAAAAATGATAAGGATTCTTTTGTTGTTTTGAAATTCCTTTTCGTTTATCCTTCAAAATAATGACTAAGGTTAATGAATTAATCTTTTAGTCAACAATCAATAAAAATTTTCCCTTTGGTTTTCAAGATACAACATTGACTTTAAATCTTTCAATAGAAAATAATCTAGTAACAAAAAAAAAAAAAATTGGTAAGAAAATGAATATAAAGAAATTTCAGTTTAGGAAAACAACATACAAGATTATTTTACTAAATTACCCTTTTTATCAATCATTGTTACCTTTTTATAATGATTGAGCAAAACTATAAAGACAACAATTAAATTCGTGAAAAAGTCAGTAATATATTCTCGTTGGC